CATCTTTTTTATATGTGTCTATTTTATTAAGTTGCGTATCAATGTTTTATAGTAGTTGATTCACAGAAGACTTACAGAATGTAAAATTCTATAATTTGCTATATTTGGAAGATAGTGAGTAGAATAATTTGATACAACCTGGCTAGAAGATGAGAACACATAGAGCTGGACTCTGACAGAGAAGGTCAGAAAGGAAACAGACCTCAAGCAAAGAGGTCTCTAACTTCATTTCAGAAAACAACTGGGGTGGAACTGAACTCTCCTGAGTAAGGACCTAAGAAAACTTAAACCACATCCAGAAAGAATATTTAGCCAACAGTTGAGAAACTACATAAAAGTAAGACGTTTTCACTTTAGATGGCTGTGTCATTTTGCTTTCTTCCCTGCTTTAAATTTTTGTTACTCAGTGCAAACAGCATTTGTTTTTATATTGAAGAAGATGCAAGTGGGGAAACAAGATACTTACTAAGCACTCACTACATCCCACAATGTTCTAATGCTTCTAATGTACTACTTGTTAATCCTCACAAGAACCATAGGAGGTAGGTACCACTATTGTTATTATTATACCCTTTTTACAGATGAGATGGGTTGAGAAAGTTTAAGTAATTTGCCCAAGGCTATGCAGCTAATGAGCAGTAGGGCCTGGTAGTTTAGGTTAACTATCCTATAACCCCTTGTGATTAACCCTACTGTAAAAAGTTAATCAATTTCAGACACCATATAGCTTAAGAAAACACCCAGTAAAAATGTTTTACGCTGGTCAATTTGTGAAGTTTCCATCCTTTACTAAGACCTAGTTATAGCAACTTGACTTTAAACTTGGATAAAACTGAACAATGTCAATAAACTAGATGATGCCAAAAATAAAGTCTTACTGGACCACATCCCAGAATATGCAACAAATTCAGAATATGTCAACAAGAAAAGCACTCAGCAAAGGCGGGGGTGGGGGGCGGAAATAGCGACAGAGATTTAGTGCTAACGAGCTAATGATTTAAAAAAAAAGAAAAAGAAAAAAAAGGTGGGGCCAGCCAAGTGGCGCGTTGGTTAAGAGCTGGCTTAGGACAACAGAGGGCCCTGGTTCGGATCCCACATATGAGGGCCAGTGACACTGCCCTCTACAGCTAAGATGCTGAACAACAGCTCAACCTGGAGCTGGGCTGACATGGGTCACTGGCAATGGTGTAGGCTGCAGTGGGGCTGGCCAGCAGCTGGCATGGACTGCAGTGAGCGGCCGTCCAATGGCCTTCGAGCAACTGCCTTACCCGGGAAGAGCGGGTTGATAATACCAACATGGGCCAGTGAAGCAACGTCCTCCACAACTAGACTGAAGAACAAAAGGACAGCAACTTGTCTGTTTCCCTCCCCCAACTCCCCAATAAAATTTTTAAAAAGCAATGTTATTTTGCCATTTTCTGGGCAGCAAATTCAGTCAACTAAGCAGTTACTCCAATATCATCTGTCTTGGCTTGTCAGTACTGACTGGGGAAGCCAAGGAATTGATACTGCACTCAGTACAACCTTGTTCAAGCTCTCATTTTGAGGCCTGAAGTACGGCTATTTAGATGGACAGTTTTTCATCTTTCTTTCTAATTCTATATTCATGTTGAAACACTCCAGCATGCCACGCACTGCTGAGCAATAAGGCCCCACTCACTGTCTGCAACCCTACTCATTTCTCACCGAACAAAGCCCCTCAAAGGAGAAGTGATATAATTAAACTTGAAACCCACTGTAATTCATTAAAAGTATATCATTACTTAATACTTTATTAGTAGTGTCAAATTACCAGCTAGAAACCTTACAAGACGAATTCTGAATTGCCAAACTGGATTAGTGACTCTGTGAGGTTTACTGTCGTCACTGATACTGGGAGTGTGCTAATAAGTATGTGGTAATACCCGCAACTACACTGTGTATTTATGTCTGACTTTGCACCAAGAAAGATATAAGATAAATATCATTATGAGAGAAATTAGAAGTTATCCATATTTATCTAGATAGGTCAAAGTCATTGGAGATTTCTATAAGTGAATGCATGCTATGTTATTATAATTTTATATATATATTTACTGACTTCATATATACTTTAGATGGAAATATTAACAGCTCTCCTGTCCCAACAGATTCTAAATCACTTTATGTCCACATGTGCCAGAGACCTTCACTTAAAACTGTTTCCAATAATAAAAATATCATTAGCATCATAAAAATCTAAATTAAGACTGAAGGTGAAAACAGGTGTCCCCTTTTAGGAGAAAGTAACCAGAAATGAAGAATTACATGGGTAGAGTGATAATAAATAGACAGTTCTCTGGAGATAAACAGGTTCCGAAGTACTCCCCGCCCCCAACCCACTGCCATCATGCTCACACCAGAAAGAAGATTCCTTCATTCTTCTTAAAATTTTAATTTTTCCTAAAAACTAGAGGTAAAGAGGAGGAATCAGATGAAGAGAAATAAAAGTTTCATAAATTGGCTATTGCATTCGTTTATGTCAAAAGTGATACCTTCATGGGCTACAGTTATATTCATACAGTTTGGGGCTTCTACATATAAAAAGTAACTTTAGATCTTTGTAACAGTGAAGTTTTATGATTCAAGGTTTCAGAGAACTTTGCTTTTCTTAGATTTCTATTCAAAGTTAAGGTTCTAGTTCAGCACGTCCAATGAAATATGTGAGCTACATGTACAATTTTAAAATTATAGTAGCCACGTTAAAAAAAGATGCATTTTAACAAGGTTTTATTTAACTCAATATATTAAAAATACTGCTATTTGAACATATAATATTTTTTAAATTATTGAGATATTTTATACTTTTTCTCCCTGTATTTAATAAAAATTTGATGTGTATTTTACATTTTAAGCAAATCTCAATTCAGACCAAACATATTTCCAGAACAGGTAACCTCCCAGTCCCCACTTTTCAGAAGTTTGCACTATGCCTCTTCACTTTTACAAAAGACCTACATCATCAGTACTTGTTTCTGTTAAATGAAAAAAAAATCCTTCCCTTTTATGAAAATAGCATTCAATGTTCATTTTGCAGCAAGCGGCTATAGGCAGCGTGCAGCTATAGACAGCTTGCACCCTAAGCAGTGAAAGGGGCACTGCTTTTACTGTATGTTAGTGTTATTTTAGGTTTTACGTGTTATTTGGTTTGGTGGTTTATTTTCTCGGTCTGGGAATGCACAAAAGGTTTCCATACAAATTAATGTGTGATTGCTTCTTCTCTTTATGCCAATTCGACTTACAAAAGGTTTCACAGGAATGCTCTACTTTCAGATAGCAGGGAAACCTGTATTCAGTAGCTTATGTAGTTAATGGCTATAGTGTTAGAGAGTGGAGTTCTACCATAGGAGGGGAAAAATATCTATGTAAAATAAACAAATCCATATACATAAATACACATTCCTGGAAGAATACACCAAAATGATTACAAATTTGGGGTAGGTGCGTTAACAAAGGACTTCCACTTGGTACATACTTCCGTATTCTTTGGATTCTTTTATATTCAACATGTACTCATTAATTATTTTTATAATAAAACAAACTCACAGCATTTCATAAAGATCCTCAAAGTACAACACATATATAGTCTAAAATTAAGAAAACAAAACTTGAAAAAAATTTAAAGTGGAGAGAGGGATACTATTCAAAGGATAGCACGCTTTCCCTGCAATTTGTCTAAAAGAACAACCAGGAAATAATGGCAACTAGAGAAGAGAAGCTATAAAAGTGGGTGCAAAAAGTTTAGTATAACTATTTAACTTTTCTTAAACTCCAGATTTAAAGTGGTAGAAGCTCAGTGAGATAAAAAAAAGAGAGAGAGAGAGATTTTCCTAATCTTAACACATTTGAGGTAACTTTTACTTCTAAATCACTGTTCACGGCCAAGCACACCCAACGTTTTTCAAGTCTGACTTCTGAAGTAGGGTCTGACTTCTGTGCGGCTTAATCTTCTACATACTATTTCACTGACTGATGGCATTGAGTAACAACCTAAGGTTTCTTTTCAATAAAAATTATTCTTAATGCTATTTAAAGATTTGAAAAAAAATTTTCAATGAAACTTAAAAATTGTATTGATAAATAGTTCTTAAATATTTAGTTCAAATAACATTAATGATCAGAACAAGAAAAGTTTTTAGCTACCGATCAATATTTGCTTAAGAATATTTTAATGTCTTTGAAATCTGTAACACTTAACTAAGTATACTTAATTCCATTATGATAGATTTTGACCTAAGTTCTAAAAGAATATTCTTGTTTTAGCTAGTAATTACAGAAATTAAAGAGCTAGTAAATGTGTTCATAAAAGACAAACATAAAGAGATTCTATCAACTTTTGTCCAATACTATGTGATTAGATCAGACAAGAAATGGGGATCTATGTGTTTCTATCTTACATTTTATATCGGTGTACAACACAATTTTTGATAATCAGTCTTTAAAACTTAGCTTTTGCAAATGTGGAATAAGAATATCTTTATGAGAATAAAGCCACCAACCTGAGAAAATATAACATTTTACTGCAATTACATGTCTGCTGTAAGTACTAAAGTTGCTCATTGTTATAAAATATCTATTATATAAACTAAGTATTCTATAATCTCAGGTCAAGTTTTTAATGGGGTAAAAGTACCTACATTTTTTTATTTTAATGATTAAATACATAAACCTCCTTAAATGAAAATTTCACTTTCTTTAGTGAAATCTTGTTCCCAGTAGGGCTTCTTAGTAACAGGCAGGATTTCACATGAGGCTGAGATATATATGAGGAAGTGAGCTCAAATTTTATAATTTTAAGATGACCAGCTGGATTTACCATATTAATGTAAATATGCTTTTTTGGAAGGAAGGGAGACGATAAGTGCTTAAATGGCAAGGAGTTATTTGATGCTAATCGTATTTATTACACAAGTATTATTTTTCCCCTAAAAAAGTTTACCTGTATATTTGAATCTCCTTTTATAAACTTTGCTCCTTCTATTATAGTCATATATGAAAATCTGAGTTGATCTGGTGTCTGAATAAGTCCCATTCGATATTTTCTCATATTCAGTAACAGTTGTTTAATGTTAATATCATCTCCTTTTTCCATCTACAAGAAAGGTAGAAAGAAAATTATTCAGGTCTTTTGTTCATAGAGCCCAGGAAAGAGAAGCAATACAGGATACTTGCTAACAGTTTTGCTATGTGCTATGTTTCTCCTCAAGAACAAGGATAATTTAACACCGAAGCTGTAACTCTATGTACAAAACCACCATTCCAAGCTACCCATTCTCCCCACACCTCAACTGTTCAAGTAGTAGATGGAGGACTTCTGGTCCTTTAGCTGATTCACAGTTCATTCCAAACCAATCACAGTAATCCTCATTCACTTTGGCCAGTGTTTGGTCAAAGGAAAGATTTATTACCAGTTCTGCCTTAATGTAAGGATAAATCTACTGAGATTAGTAACTTTTTTTTTTTTACAGTCTTGGCAGGAGTAAATCTTTTTGCCCAGTGCCCTTTCGCCTCTATGTCCGTGTACAGCAGCCATATGGACATGGTGGGGAAGGAAAACAGAAAGAGCCTAGGTCCACAATGACACTGTTGAGACACTGCACCAGCCCTGCACTACTGATCTGTTGTTATAACCACCACACCCCAACCTCAACTGAAAAAGCAAAAAAGTTGTTGGGAGTTATATGTGGCAGGGAACAGGCACAAACACAATCCATTTTTAATATTCACCACTAACAAAATAAGACACTAGAATTTTAAACATGTCAAAGTTCATTTTAATATAACAATCCAATTTTTTATTAAAGTACTATATATATATATATA